GGGAGCTCTTGCGCGTGAGTTGGTATTGAAAATGGGCCAAATCGGCTGAAGGACACTCCCCCAACACCACGTGAACTAAAGACATTTCTATTTTTCAATAGAATACACTTCGAAAACCCTATAAAATATATATGAATTCTTGGCAAATTTTAAATTTGGAATGCACCTAAACATGTCCGTCTGTCCAACTGTGTGTCCGCGCAACTGCATAGTATTTGTGGTAAACATACTTCTGTTAGCGAAAATGAAGCTATCGCCTACAAATTAGGAAGTGACTTAAACGTTTCCAAGGACACGTCTACAGCGCCCCTATGCCCATGCGACAAAAACTTTTAGTTTGAAAATAGAAAAAATCAGTCGCGCCCACTTCATACTATAGGGCATGAAAATTTATTTCTCTTTTTTTTTTTCTTTTTTCAAGATAACGGTGATGGGCATAAAAGATTCGGTCCCGACCGTATTTAATTTTTTTATTTTTTTTTTTTTATATTTATTTTGTAAGTACTATATGTACTATTTTGCGAAATCGTCGAAAATTCTTTCTTGAATATCATTATTAGCAAAATCCAAAATGTCGTAATTGATATTTTTTTAAGAGCAAGAAAATATACGTTAGTACATGTAGAATAGAAGCATAGAGTTTGCAAAGTTTTTTTATTCTTATTAATGTTAGATTTTGAATAGAGATATGTTGTGTTATTATTTTGCTATTACATGGTTACAAACGGGTACAACGAAAAATTCCGAGGAAAATTCAGACAGAGAGTTAGAATGATTAGTTGGTCAGACATGAGTTATTGAACACTAATCCAATTCGATTTCTCTTGGCTTCTTGGGCATTCGGCATGCAAACGAAACAATGTACTATGTATGCACATTAGCTATACGTTAGTTGTAAATCCAAGCTTTTTGTCCTCTAAATGCTCTAAAGATGCTCTTTCCCGTCCAATTAATTTCATCAAATTGTCGTCGTCATCAATGTAAGCGTATATTGTTTTAAGACAATTTTCATTGGAAAGATTTTCTAAAATAACTCGTCTGTAACATATGACCTGAACACAGCTCATATACTGCTGTATACCTGCAACTGACTAAAGTTATTAAAGCATTTTTCACAAAAATTATTGCATGTTCAGCCGTTACATAACCCGATAAGTTTGCTCATCAGCAAACACTGACTTGACAGTCGATATGCTTACCTATTCGGCTACTCTTCGCAAAAAATAGGAACAATTTTTTAAACATTTCCGATAATAATTAGCATTGATCGCAAATTTGAAGCCAAGGTTCATCAGCCCCGCTTCAGGTGTTTTAAAAAACAAGCAATAATCCCATGTTATCAACACGCTCGTCTATAATTAAAACAAACGAAAGAAGACTGCTATAGAGCAGCCTTCTGTCCAAGACGTTATATGGGAAGTGATCGGAAAAGTGGTCGTATCCGAACTATTTTCAGTAGAGTTTGCCTTTATTTCATCAAAATATCTCGAAAATTATGACTTTTAGCTTAAACACAAAAAAATAATCACAAACAGACGGACAGACAAGCTTGGATCGATTAAGAAAAGGTAGGTATATATCAAGTCCTTCTGGGTTTTGGATGCATTCGTACAACCCTAACATTAATCTTAGGTGCAGGATATAACCGATATGCTAGAAAAAGGCATAATCATACTTTTTTGTTCTACTTTACCGCTTAAGCGAATTTATTAATATTTATTTGCTAGAGTCTAAATTAGTTATTACTACGCCAGTGAACAGAATTCATTTCAAATTCAAATTTCAACACTATCTCGATATGATTTATCATATCATAATTATTATCGGCAGATATAATAAGCAATAAATTTAGCACTTAATTTTTAAATCATACTACACGTTGGAAAATATTTATTTGCGATAACAAGTTTTTTCAAAGCAAACTCCATATAACATTTATAGAATTTCATATCAATCTATTTCATATATATTATTATATATATGTGGTCACTCAACGAAAATTTGTTAATCATTTACGTTTTCTCGTTTATTTATTTATTACGTGTTTTAAAGATTTAAAACACAAAAAAAAAAAAAAAAAAAAAAAAAAAAAAAAAAAAAACCAAATTTCTGCGTGCGTGCCGCCAGAATCAATATTGACTAAATTGTAATGAGATAAATAATAATATGCATAAAATTTCATATGTACGCATAACAAATATGTGTATAATTATATGAATGAAATTCAATTTAACTGTTATACGCATTTATTTTGCATTAGAAAATGTCAATAAAGTACCTTTGCTCACATAAAAATTGAAAAGCATCAACACGCTTATCGATAAGAAGATGCCCTAAAATGCTAAAAAAAAGAAGAAAACATAAATGTTTGCACTGTGGTGGTGGGTCGGGTCGGTGAAATTTAAACTTCTCGCCGACATGCTACAAAACGTGTCATTCATTCATTTCATATGTACGGTCTTCAATACGCAATAAATTCTTTTCGCTTTCGCCCTACTCGGACCAGTTTTGAGCTTAACTTGAACCTTGAACTCAAATTATTAAGCATTTTCTTTTTTTCCAACGCGTTTTTACTATAGCGATCTCCTTAGAGGCTCACAATCAGAAAATAATCCCCACATTTATAACAGGTAGTAATTTCCCGGGGCCAAAAGTTGGCAAAAAAAATGCATTGAGGAACCGGACACGACATTTCAGAATCACAGCCTCGGTATCACGTTCTTTACAAGCCCTGAACTGAACCAAAGCTTATGCAGACCTCTAATCTCTACGTAACGGTTGTTTTCAATGTACTCCTGATAGCAAAAATGAAGCTATCATCTTCTTACTCTGCCTTGGAAGTTTTGCGCACATCACTTTCAAAAGCGGTCTAAATCGGTAAAAGAACACCTCAACAATAATCGAACACCTTTTCTCTGAGTTTTTTATTAGTTGTTGCTTGTAAAGTGCCATAGACGCTAAGTAAAAATTTCCCGGCACGGTCTACAAATATGGAAATAGTCGTGGGTACGCCTGGAGTATGGAAATCGTTCTGATTTTGGCCTTGTTTAGGATGAAAATGGTGAATATAAAAAATTGAAGCTAAAATCCATTTAAGCATGTCCATCTGTTCGTCTGTCCGTTTGTACAATGACTGTTGTAAACCTTCTCCTGGCCGCAAAAACGAAGCTATCGACTTCAGATTTGGCTGAAATATTTAAAGCTCTTGCACGCAGGTTAGTATTGAAAATGTGTGCCAATGTGCCAACCAGTCGAAATGCACGCCTACAGGACTATGTAAAGTGAAGACACCCCGATTTCTCAAACGGATTCAAAAACTATTCTTTCACTCATTACTCATAAACTCCAGCACATAAATCTATAAAACTTTGGACCTATATTCTATGGGCGATGATATAGTATCTGTACAAAAAATCGGCCACGCCTGCTCAATTTTATAGTTTGTCATAATTTAATTTTTTTTTTGTCGATGCTCAGAAGCAGACTTTAAAGACCGCATAAAGTTTCAAATTTGGAATGCACCTGAGCATGTCTGTCTGTTCATCTATCCATCTGTCCGTCTGTCAAACTGTATAGTATCTATGGTAAACATCTTCTGCTCGTAAAACTGGGGATATTACTTGGAAATTTTGCAAACGATTTTGAAAACAACCCAAACCGGTCTAAGAACACATGTACAACGTTCGCACGCCTATGCAATAAAGACTGCGAACACCTTTTCTTTCCGTGGGCTTTGCTTGATACTAAAAAAGTACAACACATACATACACACAGAAATTTTCAATCTTGTTCTTATTCTGGAAATAGAAAAAACTAAATCGCCCCCGCCCAACATCATAGAGTATGAAAATGTAGCTCTTTCCCTTATATTTTCAAGGTCACAATGATGGATATAAGAGTTTCGGTCACGAACCCATTTACTTTTCTTACTTACTATTATATCGATTAATATAGAATTATTTTGTGAACCGATTTAAGCGTTAGTGCGTCTGTTCATCTTTTCGTCTGATCTCTCCGCGTATTTTTCAGTTCGGCCGACAGATAACAAAATTTGAAATATTTTGGCAAAATTAAGTAAATTTCCGTGTTCTAGCACATCTACGAACCCTAATGACCATGGGTTTGATCGGACTATTTTTACGAATGCTCACCTCTTTTTTTGAAGAAGTCGTTATATGAAAAGTGGTCGATATGGGGAGTGGTCTAAATAGTGGACCGAACCGAACAAAGGTTTTCGTTCTTGGGTCAAAACACGTCACTCTACGAAATTTCCTCAAAATATCTCGAAAATTGCGACCTGTGGCTTGAACACAAATTTGCATGGACAGACGGAAAGATAGGCTTAGGTCAATTCAGATAATGATTCTGAATCGATCGGTATAATAAAAGGTGAGCCTATCTTAAACTCTTCTGCGTGTTATATACGTCCGCACTACTTAATATACCTTGCACCACGAATGGTATAGGGTATAAAAATGTAAAAACATCTATTTAATACGTGATTTATATTCACTCAATTTTTCGCTTTTACCGGGCAACCTGCGACGTGTGCAGATGAAGTAAAGAAAAAAGAACAAGTTTTTTAAAACGTAGAAAACAAATGCAAATTAATTATTTTTCACTTTAACTATCAAAAAATATCAGAAAAAGGAGGAACAATAAGGAGTTTATTACATGCAATATATTCTAGTCATGACATAAACCTCATTATAAGACATTTATTTTAATAAGGCTTTTTCATTATTAAATCATTCGAAGAAAGAATCGAAAGATCGAAAAATACATTATGATATGATATGTTCTTGGTGATAATAATTTTCTTTATTCTCCTTCATCATGAATTCTCCAGTGTACTTATATATATTTTCTCGAATAATTTTTGTAAGTAAAGACTACAAGTTTCTCATAAAAAAGTTTACCTATTATTTCACACTTAAATACAACCATACTCTTAAATCGTTACTATTGTGAATGATTTTAAGTGCTTATTACCGAGACCGCCGATAATCGCAATTAACTTAGCCCAAAATACAAAGTAGAAATGAATAAAGGTCATGACGATAGCTTTGATTTGGCATTAGCCAACTTGGAGTTACCGACAGCAGCCAAGGTACCCAAAAAGGAAAATACACAATTGGTAGGAAAAGAAGACAATTTAACTAATAAAACATCGTGTTCGAGCACCTCAAAATCCTCTGCAGCAAATCCTCATTGTATACTTGTGCATCCCAAGCAACGTGGTAATCCGATTTTAAAATCAATATTAAATGCTCCTTTAGAGTTTCGCGATGATATTATACCTGATTATGTAGTGGGTCGTACCACTTGCATTCTGTATTTGTCCCTAAAATATCACAATTTAAATCCCGATTACATTTGTCAGCGTCTCAAAGAACTGGGTAAGCAATACGAGCTAAGAGTGCTATTGGTTCAGATAGATACTCCAGAACCGCACAACGCTTTGAAGAGCCTAACGCGTATTAGCTTATTGGCGGATTTGACTTTAATGTTAGCTTGGAATGCCGACGAAGCTGGAAAAATGATCGAAACTTACAAATTATTTGAGAAACGTCCACCAGATTGGATAATGGAAAGAGTGGAATCTAATCCTCATCAAAAGGTGCGGAAAATCATAAAACTCATCTATTGGACAATATTGAAATTTTGAATTTTATTTCAGTTGGTAACTGCGTTAAGTAACATTAAACCGGTTAATAAAACCGATGCCGTTACCTTGCTACAAAATTTCGGTAATTTAGAAAATTTAATAAACGCCAGCGAAGACCGTTTGTCTCAGGTTATTGGATTAGGGCCGAGGAAAGCAAAAAAATTGTATAAAACACTGCAAGAGCCATTTCTAGCAAAATAAAGCTTTTCCAAACACCGTTTGTATTTTATTTATTAAATTGGAATCAATTCAAAAAAAGGAAATTCTTTGGCTGTTTTTATTCAACATATTTCCATATTTTTATGGTGCCGTCATCACTGCACGATAGCAACTGATGGGCAACCGATGGATTCCAGCACACCTTGTTAACGTCTTGTAGGTGAGCTTTGTCTTGTGCGGTAGCTACAAAAAATACTGGTTCATTTTTTGAAGACATTTCAATGTCTTCTTTGAATATACGTATCGAATCGTCCCCACAAGCCGTAGCAATTAGACCAGTTTTCTTGCACCAAGAGACATCGTAAATAGTACGTGAATGCTCACCTGCTACGGTGCAAACACACTTCCATACTGCTTCGTTATTGGGCGTGGCAATACCTTCTTGGTTGCCCGGTGGATAGGAAAGCCATATTTTCATTGAACGATCATCACTTACGGAAACCAAGCGTGCACCTTCAGCATCAAAATCAATAGCCCAAACAGTGCTTGAATGGCTCTCCAAAGTGGCGGTACAATCCCAATCGTTGTCCAAAGTGTTTTCGGCAAACACCTTAATGGTATTATCATAGGAGCAGGAAGCCAAAATCTCTTTATGTGGATGCCAAACAACACGTTTTACATCTTGAGAGTGAGCATTTAAAACAGCGGCACATTCAAATTCATCATCGCCAGTAACTTCCCAAATCCACACCGACTTATCTCTGGAACAAGTGGCCAAAAGTTTTCCGCAATTAGACCAGCTAACGCTTTTCACTTCATTCTCATGGCCTTCTAGCGTTGCGTTACATTCAAATTCTCCTATTTACGAAATGTGCTTTAGAGTACTTGTATATCAATTAGCTTCTGCTCCACAAAACGTACCTGACGTTTTTGACCATATAGCCGTAGTTGCATCAAAACTAGCCGAAGCTAAATATTCACCACATTTAGACCAACTGACTTCCCGTATAGTCCTTTTGTGGCCATCTGAGAGTATAGTTTTCGTGGTCCAATTAGAGCCTGATAGAGACCACACACGTATTGTTTTATCTTCACCGCAAGAAGCAAAAGCATTGCCTTTGGGATGCCATGCAACGCACCAAACACGTCCCTTATGGCCTTGCATGCTTTGTTCACAGATAAGTTTGGCCATTCTTTCTTCTTTGTTGGTGTAAGGAATTATTTGATTTTATATTGTTTTAATAGATAGCTTACAATCTGAACAACCTTGCAAGGTGCTTGAAGACGCACTTTGTTTAGAATTCGATTTTTTCTTTCTTTATGCTTTTTAGGAAAACGATTGCTCACAATAATAAATTTATTGTGATTTAGTTATCAACCCATCCGATCAGATGATGCCAGCTATTTATGCCATAACAAAACTAATGCGAGTAACGTAACGCAGTGGCAAGCAACGTAACAAAATTGTTACTAATTCAATCCCATTTGTAATTGCTGAATAAGCAAAGAAAAACCATATAATATCGAACTGAAAATAAACATTACTTCTTAAAAAAAAATTTCCATCTATAAAAAAATCAAAAAACTGTATGAAGAAATGAATATATGCATGCAACGCTCCATGACTTCTTAATTAGTTAGAGTCTGAAACCCATATTCTTATAATAGGTATTACTAAATCAGTTTCACACTTAAGCCGAGTAGCTACAGCAAAAGAGAAGATTTAAAATTATATACATTTAGTTCATTATTAATATCACTAAAACTATTTAAAGCCTATTATTATGTTCTTGATACTTTATGTGATTGATATGATCCTCTTCAAAGGCATTACTGAAAAATTGTTGACAGATGATACATGTCGACGAAGCAAATCTGTTACTTTACCTTGATATATATTGGATCTGAAATGAATTGAACACGGAAATTATGTTCATCTTGAGATTTTTGTTGGTTTTTTTCTTTACTATATAAAGTTGGTAATCGCTTCACGTCCACTTTGTAGAATGGATTCAAGGCTGTTAATTGCACAGTTGCAATATTTTATTTTAACTTATCTAACTCTAAGATGTATGCTGTCGCGTCCAAAATGGGCCATGTGCCACATGCTATACATTCGATACATTTTATGAAGCAAAGCAACAGTTAAAAATGAAATCATAAAATTAAGAGCTACACTTTTTTCAAGAATATGCAGTGGTATAGACAAAAGAATACAAAGGCAAAGTTGACTTGATATATGATTGTCCCACGAGGCACAATGGCTCACTTCATTCATTACCATGTTCGCGTCTAGTTCAGCTAATACTGTTGCCAATTTATTAGGTATCTGGCAGCGCGTTTAATTTACGATAAAGTTTATTGGGTGTTGTTTTTCAAGAAAGTATGTTTTTATAAAGTAAATGCATTTAGATTTTGTGATTTAGATTTTTGCAATATGAATGGTTTAATAGTATTTAACAATGCTAATGATGTGGTTTACCATAAATTCAACGATAAACTTGCCAAGCATATCTATAAGATTGCTTCGGTTCAAGGTTTACTGTCAGAGAGTTTCGATACATCAACTGCTGCGCCGATAGACAGTAATATAATTTTGCAAATCTTTAGTCCCATTATCAATTCCCAACGCATTATGCATTGTCAATTTGATAACACCTATGCCAGTTTTCAATGTGAGAATGATTTAAATTTTGTATTTGGCGAGTTGTTAGGCTATCAGTTCGTGAAGGTTGCTCAGAGGTCGGTGGAAGTTTTGAAAAGGCATGTCGGAGTGATAATGGCGTTATCTAAGCATTTTTATGGAGCGAATTTGTTTGCTAGCCAAGCCAGTGAAGTGCAGGAAGAATTGTTTACTGGTTGCCTGGAATGTTATGAGGATTATTTATGGCAACACGATCAAAGTATAATGCTAGAAGCTTTGCCTCGCCTGCTCATAAGTGCCGAACTACGAAAAAATGTAAAATTAAGCTTAGAATCAGCTTTAGAGAAATTAAAGGAAATCGGTCATACAAGAGCACATGCTTTAATGTTTGTATCTCATAAGTTTGTAGCTGTAAGTAGTACAAAACCGGCCATACCCCTTAATCCATCGGATTTGCTATTTCTCACCTTATTAACGAGATCCTTGCAAATGTCTACGCGCTCAATAAACCGTTCAGTAGCCGTATTTTTGCAAGGTTTAACGCAAGATCCCCATTCAGGCTGCATTCCTTGCATAGCTCATTTGTCTCAATTGGAAAAGGGCGTACAACTCATACAGATAGTCGAATATGCCAATTTGGCAGTAGCTAGTAGTATGTACGATACATTTTTTGTACTGCAAAAAATTATTTCTGTGCAAATGCAAGGGGACTCTGAAGCCCTTAAACCGACTTACGAAAATTTGGAAACCTTTGTACGGCAAACTTTGGATGCTTTAAAAAAGTCAAAACTGAAAGGAGACGATTTGGAAGCGTGCTTGAAGAAGTTCTCAGCCAAATGGGAAAATTTACGTAAAATGTATGGTGAGTTCTTGAAAACTTATGAGCGTGAAATTGTGGTACGCATAGAATCAAATATACCCTCGTTCATGGAAGACCTTAAACAATTATTCACTTTGTCGTGCTGTGATAGCTCGGCAATGAATTTTCAACAATTGCCCGAGGTAGCCGCTGTAGCGGAAGGCAAGCTCTTGGAGTTCTCTGAATTCTTGGCTGTTAAGGCCGAACGCAATATATCGATCGAAGCCTATCTGGAAGATTTCCCTGGACTTATACATTTCATTTACATCAATCGTTCGTCTGGCTTGATGATTGCCCCAGATCTTAAATATACCAATCAGCTAATACCTTCAGAGAAACTATGGTCTATGATCGAATATACTCGTAAATATTTGAAAAAAGGCCAAACAACGCTCATGTGGAAAGATAAATCGTTCAATTATGCATACTTTTTATGGTTCGAGGATCAAACTACTGGTTCAATTAAGGCCATCGATATGCAGCAACATTTTATGGCCTCATCTAACTCTAGAGCGGCGTTTAAGTGTCAATTCGAACCCGGATTATTAGCCGGTGATTATTATCATCTTCTAACCGAGGTTTGCTTCCCGAAAGCATTGCCCAGTAAAATAAAATGTTATGAATTGTTTTGCATTCATTTGGGTTTAGTTACTGCTACTTGTGCAGTAGAGCATGCCCGACGTCTAGTGGCTACAATTGCCGATGTAGTAGGGGAGGATTCATTTTAAGTAGACAACACCATATCTATAAGTATCGCAATGCCATAAATAGTTTTTTTTTTTTTTAAATTTAAATATATAAAAATTATTTATTTTACTTTAAGAATAATTCTAAGGCTTTGCATTGTTAATGAAACTTAACAATAAATAAAATTTATTTATTCCCATCTTTTCTGGTTTGATTCCGTAGCAGATCGATGATAACAATTTGATTTTTTCCTTCAGCTAGACGCAGCCAACGACCGAGACGATGCTCTTGACCTAGCGCAGCGAATAGTCTTGTACCTTCCTGATTAAAAGTCAAGGAGTTGACAAAACCTTCGACGGGTATTTTGAGTATTTGTTTTAATTTCCGATAATGATCGGAGGCCTGCCATAATCGTATAAATCCATCACAAGAACCTTTAAATGTTGAAAAATGAATTTCCAGAAATTCCAATGTTAACTTGAGACGTACCTGAGGCTATTAAGTCGGTATTAACTACGCAGGCTATGGCCGTTAGCCAATTCGCGTCACCGTTTGCTTGTTGGCCATGACTCAGGAATTCGGTGTGAAGGGATTTTTTCTTTAACGCCGACCAAAGACAAAGGGAACTAAACGTTCATTTTAAGTTTCGTTAAGATTTTCTATGTAAAACAGCGTTTAAGCTTACCCATCCATTCCTGACGATATGAAGTTTTCATCATTCAAAAATTTAACGGATTCAATACGATCTTGGTGGCCGTTGTATACCAACTGGGACTCTTCAGTTATTTTCCAAATACGCAAAGAACAATCGGGTCCGCCTGAACTAATAGCACGTTCACGTGTTAAAGCGTCTATACCAGTGACGCCGGCTTGATGGCCAAATCTGCAGTTGTATATTTTAATATATGCCTTTTTTTTAATATCGCTTAATCTACTTACAAACTCTCCACATAAGCCATTTCATCTAGTGACCATATTTTGACAGAACGGTCATTTGATCCTGAGTATAATTCATGTGTATCTTTGCGAAACACCAAACAGGTTACAACATCTCTGTGACCATGAAATGTTTTCAAATGCTTTAATTCCTTGGGACACCAAATTTGTATCGTTTTGCCATTATCAGCCAAAGCCAAGTAACGCATATCGCTACTTATGCACATAGCTATTACATGTGAACGTCTTTTTAGTACGCCTTTGTTAATATCCTCATTATAGGGTTCTACATTGAACATTCCCACTACGCGATTATTTTTCAAATTCCATTTTAGCACATATTGGGTTTTACCGCCGGAAAATAGAATTTGCCCGTCGGGCGCTAATGCCAAGGAGCATAAGGTGAGGTGTTGTTTTTTGTGCTTTAGTTTAACAACATTTTCGACATCGTAGCCATATATACTAGCAGCGATATTCTTTCTCAACTTCCCCACACTATCCAGATATTCGGTTTGTAGTCTTTGTGAGACTTGATCGTGCAGTTGACGGTCTTTTGCTTTTTCCAATTCTTGTTTTTCAATTTCTTCGAGATATTGTTTGGCCAAACGCAAGCGTTTATCCTGGGGCGTTTCTTCCTCAGCTTCATCAGAGGAAAACGTTAAATTGTTATTATTACCAATAGCTTCATTGCCACTAGGATACTCATCATCACTGGCAATTTCCTCATCATCTTTACTGCTAGAAACCTTAGCTTCATTACTAAATTTCTTAGATAACTTCCCCGCTTTTTTAACTTCTAGTGTCTGCTAATTGGTATTAAAGCACTATTACAAGAATTTTGCTTTTCTCAATTACAGTTTTGCTATATTTACCTTCCGTTTTTTATTAATTTTAGATTCCTTCTTTAAGAAAAATGACGAAGACATCTTTTTTAATTATTTAAAAAAAAGGATAGCAATTACAATTACTCTTCTTAATTTCAGCTATGTTACTATTTTGATATGCACGTGAATTTTTATTAAAACCAAGTCTCTGCTTCTTATTAATGTTAACTTTAATTCAGTAAATCAACAGGGGTTGATTCTTATATTGAGTAACAACCCTGTACAAAAAAATCAGTTTTTTGTTCGACTTTCTACGTCTTGCTGTTGTAAAATACTGATACCGTGTATATTTGTTTTTGGGCACAGGCATTAAAACTACCTTTGTCGTATTTTAAAGCATTGACAACTTAGACAAAGCAACAAATATATCCCCTAAATAAAAAACAATGAAATTATAGCAAATGTAATAATAATGTCCGATTATATAAAAAAAATATATGTAAATATTTTGAAATGGATTCCTCTGTCCATATAACCCAATTGTGCAGAAAACGATGTTGTAAAAAATATTCCTTTCAACATACCAAAAAAAAAAAAAATATATATTCCTGACAGTCCTCTAATAATACCAAGCTAAATAAGTTTAGTAATGTTTTTCAAGTAAAGAAAAAAAAAATTTTACTTATATTATCACGAAATCAATCATTTTCATAGTTTTGAATGGAATCATTTCAACATAAAATGTTTTGCTCACATAAAAAACCTCATAAATCGTATGATTTCCTCTTTTTTTCGCGGTAGTGAGGACTTGATCATAAAAAAAATTAATTGTTTCTCAGTCACTCTACACAGCAACTTCACAAGTAGTAATATTTATTTTAATATCTGGCATCTTCATATTTTCCGCTAAAATTTTTTTTTTTAGTGATCTTCGATTAATTATCATTTTTAAACAATTGTCGCGCTGTTCGAAAAATTATAAAAAATAATGGATATTATTAAACGAACTATGTCATCACCCTTGGGACACCAAAATGAAGACAGAGCAAAAAAAATTAAACTTCAAGAGTCTCCGGAATCGAAACAAGAAGGAGAAATGAAGACATATTCAGATAATTATGACTTTCTGTTTGATGATGAGAATGATTTCGATTTTGTTGGTTTGGATACGTCAAAAGAGCAAATAAACTTCACGAAGTTGGACTTAACTAAATGGCAAAGATGCGTTGTAGAAGAAATTCAAAGGGATCGAAAAACTTGCGCTTTAATAGTTAGGGTAAAGTCTACACAATCGAGCTATGTTTGCAGTGAAAACAAAGACAATATCAATGTGATGGAGGATTTGCAGGCAACTTGTCATTTAAGAGGACCTTGGAGTACTGCGGAAATAGACGAGGGTGATATAGTATCTCTTAAAGCAAAGTGGGATAATCAATTGAATAGCTTTTATGTTGACAAAGATGAAGGAATTTGTGTTGTAAATCCGGATGTACTAATACCAGCTACTACCGTCGTGGGCTCGCTATTTTGCCGACGAAAAGCCGTTTTGCAAGACCGATTTCGTGGTATTGATGCTAATAGTAAAATTGCAAGTGATCCTCTTTCTTACAAGCTCTTTGTCTTATTTTATTAAATTTTTATATTTCCCTAGATGGTTGTAGGGTCGTTAGTTCATGAGTTGTTACAAATCGTCTTAAGCCTACCCGCAATCATTAATCTTGGACAAATTAACAAAATAGCAGAAGATTTGCTGAACTCTTCTGATACAGCATTTATGCTTTATAGCAGTCAATTAAAGAAAGGAGATGTTCTCCCTGAAATCTTACAATTCGTACCTACCATTCATAACTTCTTGCAGCAGTACATTCGGCCGAGAGAGACGTCTTCGTCTCTACCTATGCAGGCAGAAAACTTCCAAGGCCATATATGTGATATTGAAGATATTGAACAGAATTTATGGGTGCCACAATTGGGGCTTAAAGGGAAAATTGATGTTTCTGCGCGTGTACGTAAAGCACATGCTCTTAGTGGAAATCAAGGGAAATCTTTGGTCTTGCCTTTGGAATTGAAAACTGGCAGAGCTAGTTTCTCCATGGAGCACAAAGGTCAGATTATACTTTATCAGATGATGCTTACAGCTATTGGAAAGCCTACGCAGTCTGGTTTGCTTTTATATTTAAGAGAATGTGTAATGCGTGAGATTACAGGATCTAGAAATGAGCAAAGAGATCTTATCGCGCTGCGTAATGATTTAAGTCGATATCTGACTTTGTCTTCGCGTCATTTAAAAAGGGAAAAACAATCGGAAATTTCTATTGGCAAGTATGAGCAACCATTCGAACTGCCGGAGCCCATTTCACATCCCACCGCTTGCGCTAAATGTCCGTATAATACACTATGTTGCACATTTGCGCAAACCGATCCAGATATGATGCTAAGCACTCACCATGAGTTGAGAAAAGTGATGAAAGACAGTACAGGCCATTTAAATGTTGGCGATTATGATTATTTTATGAAATGGTGTCATTTATTAATAATGGAAGAGCAAGAGTCTCGAAAAACCAATGTTACGGCAGCTTTATGGACGCAAACGCCCGATGAAAGAGAAGAACTTGGGAGAGCTGTATGCAATTTGGTATTATCATCAAGGGAAATCAAAAGTGACGGGTCGCGTTTCATACATCAATTCAACGTAAAGAAAGTGGAGCAAACTCTTTCGAACAGTAATTGGGATTTAATGATAAGCGGTGTAAGGGATCGGAAAAATAAATTAAAAACGACATTTGTATGTATTGCAAGTTTCCTTTTCAGTTTTCTGTTGGCGAATATGTTATAGTATCTACGACAAAATGTTTGGCCGTCGCATCTGGCTTAATAGTGGATTTAACACCTGATCATATTGCTGTCAGCTTGGAGCGCAATTTGCTACAAAATTACGCTGACTGTAAATTCATAATTGACAAGTACGAGTCTCAAGTTGGAAATGCATTTAATTTAACTAATTTGTCTTTGATGTTGGATAATACGGAAAGATCTCGCCAATTACGCCAATTTATAATAGATCGTCAGAAGCCCGATTTTGTTAAAACATTGCCTAAGATTGTCGCAACAAAGGGGGCGGAAATCATGAAACCTTTAAATTCCGTGCAAAGAAAGGCTGTGTTGAAGGCTTTAACTGCCCAAAGTTTTATGCTTATTAAAGGCTTGCCAGGGACAGGTATTGCAACTTTAATCATTACAAATTTTTCACTTACTTGACAATTTAGAATATACTTTCAGGTAAAACTCAAACCCTAGTCGCCATAATACGTCTGTTAGATATAATGGGAAAATCGGTAATTGTTACAAGTCATACCCATATGGCTGTTGATAATATACTTCTACGCTTGAAATCGTTTAACGTTCGATTCTTACGTTTGGGCTCTGCGGCTCGTATCAATCCGTTACTGCAGGAATTTAGTGAAACGCATGTATTAGCCAATTGTCGTACTGAAACCGATTTATCTAAGGCATATAATTCCTTTAATATAATAGGTGTTTCCTGTTTGGGTACATCTCATTCAATATTTTTGCATAGACGTTTCGATTTTTGCATAGTCGATGAAGCTACGCAGGTTATGCAGCCGACAGTATTGAGACCGTTGTATTTTTGCGACCGTTTCATTTTGGTGGGAGATCCGGATCAATTGCCGCCCTTGGTACGTTCTTTAGAAGCTCGTCAGAACGGTGCTGAAGAGTCCCTTTTTCAACGTCTCGACTGTGCAGAGGCCACGTCCGTTTTAACACTACAATATCGCATGAATAAAGTCATATCCCGATTGGCAAATACTTTAACTTATAAAGGAAACTTGCAATGCGCCACTGATGATATAAAAAACGCAAACATGAAAATTTCCATACCTAACGAGCTAGTGCCTGAGAGATGGCTACAACGGGCATTACAAACTCATATCGATCAATCTGTTGTCTTCTTAGACACAAACGATTGTTCGCAACGTTCCTTAGATTACGCTCAAAATAAACTTGTACAAATTTGCTCGGGTATCGAACAAACTTTTCCTGAAAATGAAAACTCAGAGACAGAAACATTTGAAACGAAATCACAGGCGACAAGCAAAAGATTATCGAAATATACCAATTACTGTGAAGCGGCTGTGGTTACTTGCCTTATAGAAAAACTTTTAACTGTTGGCTATGATTCCGATCGTATAGGCGTTATAGCACCGTACAGAGCTCAAGTCGAACTTTTACGCAGATTAAGTCAAGAACATCATGAGTATCATAAGAGGCATAGTGGAAAATGTTTAAATATCAATGGAATAGAAGTAAATACGGTCGATCAATATCAAGGCCGGGATAAGGATATTGTAATTTATTCTTGCTCGCGCACTGGCTGTTGCGGACAACGTTCACGTGATTCTGAGATACTTGAAGACAAACGTCGCCTTACTGTAGCAATAACTCGTGCTAAGCATAAGCTCATTATAGTGGGTGACGCGGCTTGCGTCCAACAATATAGTCCCTTCAAAACTTTACTCGGCCATATTCCGAGTCTATGCAAAATCGCTTTGCAAAATGGCAAATACGATTTTCAATGGCAGCCATTATTAGATAATCTATCCTTAGTAGTTAAGGCATCATAAACATTTAAGTTTTTGCATGTATCGTAATTTTATCATTTTTTTTATTTTTTTTTTTAGCTAATTATATATGCATCGGATCTTAAATAAAAAGCATCTTTTTCTTTTATAAAATCATTAATTTTTTTCACTTGTTCTAAACTATAAATGTACATACGGTTATAGTCTTTCGGCGGAAGTACTTATGTGAATTATTCAATCATAGAATTTTTTGAATCCGTGATTGAGGAAGATTTATATTGTTGCAACTATCAACTAGAATCAAGTTATCATTTGTGAAGAATAATTTTTAACAACATTTATATATACATATATATATATATATATATATATATATATATATATAGAGTGTCCTCCAAATCAATTGGAATCTATGGCATAAAACTGCGTCTAGCAATCACCAATTCTCCTAAAATATTACTCTAAGACTCTCATACACATACACGGACACACTTAGCACAAGTTTCGTAACCTAAGTTTTTCATTTTCGCTATCGTTTCTTTCTTTATTTTTTGCTTAACGAAAGCTAGGTTAAGTTTACCAACTCACATGTTCATAGTACTTGTACTTCAACACTATATAGGATATTGAATTAACAAATAATAATAACTAATATTTATTATTATACTCTTGTTTGTGCATAGGCGTAAATCATTTATCTTACATATGAATTGTTCATTAATAGATGGATAGATGAAGATGAAAAATGTAAACCGACTATTTTTAGGTGTCGACTGCGTTCAGCATCATTGGCTTTGCTTTTTTATACTCACCACTGTAAGATGGGCATATACCCATTTTGTTTTTTCCCATAATGCATGTAGCAACCAAAAGAAAACTTTAGATGATATATGATGAATGTATATATACATATATATATATATATATATGTTTGATTAGCGTGAAATTCTGAGTTGATTTAACCATGTCTGTCCGTTTATGTGGTGTGTGCTGTTGGCACTCGCCTGGCCGCAAAACTGAAGCTATCTACCTCAAACTGGGCAGAAACAGGGGAAGTGGAAGTTCCTGCGCGTAGGCGAAATCGGTCAAAGGACACGTCCACAGCACCACGTAAACTGAGAACACCTCTGTTTTTCAAAAGCTATAAAGAAGTGTTCCCTTGCTCACTACTCATAAACTGTAGCAGAATAACTGGTATAAAATTCGTCATCGGCGGCATCATTTTGACGCATTCCTTGAACCTAATATTAAAATTTAATGCTGATATATTATGTTAAATATCGGCTGATTGAAATAATGAAATTATTTTCAAAAAGTTTTATTAAAACTTTAAAATTTGCACTAAATTTAATAATAATTTAAATACATAACATATTTTACTATACAAATACATCATACGACACACATAATATAATATATATTTGCATTCGTTGGTAATGGTTGAAGGAATCTATTGAACATATATTATATTGAATAAATACTTTTTATATTTCATACTATATATGTATGTATGTATGTATGTGTGTATGTATGTATAAACTAAAGTTAATCATAAAAGATTTAACAATTTCTGCGCAAGACATATATGACATCAAAAGAAATTATGTCTGTGTGTATATAATACATAAGATGTAAATATTTAAGTTCGAAAGGCTTTCGAATCTGATCAAGACATTGAGTTAACAACATTAACTAACGAACATTTACTTGTTAACGAAGACTTGCTTTTATTTCATTTTTTTTTTTTTTTTTTTTTTTGCCCAAAAATATTCTAAAGATTGGATTTTTTTTTTGTTTTTCTCTTTTTTTTTTGCTCTTTTCTTAACAACAATATTCTAACAACTTTCTAATGAATATAAACATAAATCGAATCTATAAAATATTTACTTAAAATTTAAATTTAGAGTATTTTTGAATTTTTTTTTTTTTTTTTTTGTTTTTTTGTTTAAGAATTATTTTACAATTTGACTATCGATTGAATGGATTTGCATAGCAGTGGATGATTCAATTAGATCGGCATTTATAGCGGATATGGAATCAATGATATGATTCGTTTCCGATTGACTTTTGTTACTGCTATCAGTCATTGATTGGGCGGCAATTGTTGTTGATGTTGAATTATTTGAATTGGAGGATGACGTCTCGTTTAGATGGCCATTCGAATTATGAAACAATTGAAATAGACTAGAATGCCGGACAATCGGTGGCAATAACAAATTGTTAATCGCTTTGAACGGACTAAATTTTGTCGAGCTTTGTGGATAATGAAATGTATAATAATTGAGGTTATGATTACTGCTATTATTAGTGCTGCCGTTGTTATTATTATTTTTGCTATTGCTATTGCTGTTACTATTGTTGTTATTGTTTGTTTGATTTACATGATGACTATTGCAAATTAAAGAAAGTTCGGTGCTCAGCGAAGGACTTGGATTGCTACTAAAACCTAAAACAGCACTTAATGAACTACGACTGCTATTCGAATGCGAAGAAAGTGGTGGTGGCGGTGGTGGCGATACGTCCGTTGATTTGTAATTAGGTACGGCAATTTGTAGTGCGTCTTTGGATGCGGTACAAGAGTTATCACTTGTCCAGGAACATGAATGCCTTAGAGATTTTTTCGAGTTCAAGTTAATTGATTTGTTAAACGATTTCGAGGATGCCTTGAATTTTGGCTTATGACCGGGAGAAATCGGTTTACAATCGGAATCAATTATGAATATTGAGGAATAACCATTCGACGAAGATGATGATGATGAAGCAAATGAGTTTTGTATAGGATTCGCACGATTTTCATGCACTTGCTGTATCTGTTTAGGTGTTAGAGGCGGTGTAACATATTGAATTTTAGTGCACGAGTTTTGTCGATTATTTTTATTAATTATCTCGTAATCGCTATGAGAATGTATGGCCTGAGTAAATTGTTTAGCGTCATGGCTTTGGGGTAAGAAAACTTCTTCAAATTCTGAATCGTCGGCACTGGAGCTGAAATTGTGATTCTCATATGAATAGTGACTGTTGCAGCCTGCACTTATGCTGGCATTTACACGATGACCTTTAGGAGTTGACGGCAAGTCGGTGTCATTGATTTCGGCATTGCTTGACACTTCCATAATATTCCACATTTGTTTTTCTATATCTGAGGTAACCGAAGCCACGGCCACTGCTACCGTTTGTTGTGATATATTATTAAGACAGGGTGTCATTCTTTTAACCAATTGTGAATTTTTTAAAGCTTGTTCTTGTTGCTGTCGCAACCACACAGGCGAGTCTAGTAAACATAAAAAAAAATTTTATTGGATTGATAAATCCTTTTTACCTATACTCACCTATATAAATTCGGGTCTGGGTATTACGGCCACTAACATCTAACGATTGCAACCTATGCTGACTGGCCAACGAATAGCGATGTATTGTATCCATGGGTTGTTCAACTTCTATGCCTAGTATTTTTAATATTAGATTTTTCAATGCCAAACGGAAATCCTTCAAATGATAAGCATAGAGTACAGGATTAACGGCCGAATTCAAATGGGATAATATAATGCAGAATAAAGTTAACTTGGGATGAACATCGCAATTCGGGCAGAAAGCTTTAATGCAATTGATAGTATATAAGGGTATCCAACAGATCATAAAGAATAAAACTATAATTGAAAGATTTTGCGTAGCTTTAACATCACGTTTACGTGCTGCGCCCAGGACACGTAACATAGTGCCGCCATGACACGAACGTGAGGGCTGCTTTTGTTTTTGATCCGGAATTGTAGAAGAGCCGCGATTGTTAACACTTTTTGGATTCATAGTGACAATTTGTCGCACCTAAGTTTGAATGCGAATGATATTGAAATGAAAATATGAAATGCTTATGCATAGAATTTTACCTGTTTGATAATCACTTTATAGATGTGAGCGTAAAAGGCCAACATTAGTAAAGCCGGCGTTATTATGGTCGCGACATATAAAAACACCAAATAGTTATAGTCCATTACTTCCACAAACAAGCAAGCATGGTTTTGTTCATCTTGAACGGCATGCCAGCCGAAAAGCGGCAAGAAACCGACCACAGTGCCCGCAAACCAACACATCGAGATAATCACTGCGAGAAGAGGAGAAAAAAAAAAAAAGAAAAAAAAAAAAAAAAAAAGAAAAAAAAACAAAGCAAATTTGTTGAAAATAAACAAAAACAAGAAAAAGGGATTATTTTATTTACCGAAACGAATTATGTTAAATTGTTCGCCCCCTTTTTTCTGTGGCATGCAAATTATCCTAAAGACCATTAACTTTTCATATCCCCATATATATATATATATATATATATATGTACATATATACGTATGACAGTGACCCCAATATTTTTGCCTCGTCTTTAATTAATCATGACATGGTTACGTAGACTGTTAGTAAATTAATAACATACATACACATATAAATATATGCATATATATCAACCATGAGATGGCTAATAATCAAGATAATAATGATGTTTATCTTCTTCTATTCTTTACCTCCTTGATATGATTACGCAATTATTGTATACGGGTTTTGTGTAGGCTTAAAAAAGAGGCTTGTCTCTACCCGGTTAGTTGTACGCAATATATCTTTAAATAGACCATAATTCTGGTTTAAATGCCATTTGAAGTGTTAAGGATGGATAAAGGCCGCATTGTTGTTAACATAAAAATGGTCTCCTTTTGATGATAATTAAAAGTGATAGACAGTTAGATATATGTAGTTTATATGCCACCCATATACCTGTGATATGTTATAGTGCAAGCAACCATCATTTCTTTCGCATTTAATTGAAACTAAGCAATAATTAAATGTTTGACTTATGGTAATAAATAGCATGAATCGATAAATAGGCGTTGAAGGCAAATGCAGGTAAGTTGATTAATATTAAATTTATTATGAATTCAAGTCGATGAAGTTGACTGGCGATCTCTTTAAGCAAACAAATCTATTTATTATGAAACGAAATACCATTTAATGCGAAATTTTCAATTTAAGCGGTAAGGTGACTGTGTCTTTACAGTTTTCCAAAAGATAATGGAATAATAATAGTTGAGGAGATTATTAAGCATACGTTCATGTAGAACGTTTTAAAAATTAGTAACATCGGAGACCAGTTTTTTTTTTAAATGACCAATCACTTGGCAAATTGTTCCCTACTCGCGCAACAAGGTGACTGTCCGCAAGAAGGAAGAGAGGAAAGAGAAAGAAATAGGAAGATGGTAGCCGCAGTTTAGGGTGTGTGTGCCTAATCGGTAAGTATTGTGCCTTCATGCGATTAAAGTAGACACCACCGCACTTGAGATTTGAACCCACGAACGCTAACTTCCTAACGTCGCAATTCTTATCTACTCACCTACTCAGACAGAGACAGTATTAATTTAAGCGTCTCTATCTCTATCGCACTCAATATAATTGGTCCAAATTTTAATTAAAAAAAAGAAGAAAGAAAGAACATTTATTCTACATCCGTACATTCAGAGAAATACATAGTTAAAGACAGGCAATCGCACGGTAGCCATATGTACAATGATGTTTAGCGAACGAACTCATAATCAAACAATTTTTACTTTCTTGGCAGAAGCTGCGAAGCGTAAAAAAAGTACAAAAACATTATTTTGTGTGGAACTGGTTGTAAACTAACATAAATATCGCATCACTCAATAAGTCTCCGGTCTAGCTTGCTGTTTTTTTACAATTTTTTCATTCAAACTCATTCGTACTGCTGTATAGTGTTCGTTATCCTGCTAAGATATGCGCGCTGCAACCTAGGCGTAACCTAGAACGGTTTTCGTCAATTGCTTTCCATTCGGCTGATTGTCCCTTTTGGATCTGTAATGTACTGACGAGTTTATGTCTTATCCATTGTCACATATCGTTGGAAAAATTCCGCCTTATAAACAGCGCCAAATAGCACTCTGGACTTTATTGCCAAAATAGAGTAATCGTGGACCGACCTGTCTCAGGGAAATATATTCAAACAAAATAGTAAATGTACTGCCATCTGATATCTTTAAGGTGTCATTTATCTCATGCAACTTCACTTTTCAGTTTTCCAAAACAATTTCGCTGCACTTTTTTGATGTTTTCTCGAACAACTGGCGAATTCGGGCGAACAGAGGGAGCTCAACAGAGTCGATGTTCATATGGTTTTGTTTAAAATTGACAAACCATGCAAAAATTTATTTCGTCGAGTGTCACAAGTCATCATAACACCGTTAACGGTATTAGTTCTCGTCAACAAACGAAATTCAGGATTTGGATCGTTTCGAAATGAAAAAAAAAAAAAGAAAAAAAAAATAGCGCCAGTGGAATCATTCTATCTTGTAAACTAATTGTTAGAATTTCATGAAACTTTTGATTTCTTGAGCTCATCTCTCCATCCGTCAAGCTTCTCGTTTGCCCGTCTTTTAGGTTCTATGTCTAGTTTTCCTCGTTTACGTTTCTTTGTTTATCTGTGTCTTCATATACTTGCTTTATCCCCTGTCTAGTTTATCGTCTGCCTGCCTTCTGTCGCCTTCCCGTCTGTCTGTCTGCGCATTATAGTGTGTGCCCCGTTGCACTTATATCTGGGTGCATGTTTTCCTGCCCGCCAGCCTTCACATCTACCTGTCTCTATGCTATTTTGTCTGTGTGCCTCTATACGTTTCTCGCCGCTTGATTACTTTTGCTTGATGCTGACTTTTTGAATATATATTACTAAGTACTAAGTCCTATTAAGGGGGGATGGAATGGGTGCGAAGCTACTCATTATTGTCGCTTGATTCGTGAGTAAAACTCGTTATCCATAAGAAAATTTGACTTTTCCCAGTTCAATATACTTTAACAAAGTAAAAATGAAAGGATGAAAGAATGAAAGGAAGAAAAGGATAAGATGTTCACCAAATGCTATTCCTCGCTAGATATCGTATATTTGTAAGTTAATGCCCAATCACAAGCGTTCACTTGTAATGGCTTGCGATATTTATAGGAAAAAAATTTAGATACAAAAGCTTATACATACATTACTTACCAATTGCCGTTCTTGTGCGTACATTCCGTGAATATGCCATTGGATATAGGATGGCCCAGTATCGATCAACTGACACCGCTACCAAACAAAATATTGATATAGTACATAGGACCACCAGCAGTGATACCGTAAATAGGCAGGCGTATAAATTTGTCGGTAGACCTATCGAAGCCAAAATAGCAAATGGTACGCCCAACGAGCCGACCAGGAAATCAGCCATAGCCAAAGAAACAATGTAGTAGTTGGTACGACGTCTCAGTTTGCGTTCCCGTTGAAAGACAATAATAACCATAAGATTGCCAACAATGGCGCAGATCGCTACTAATATTTCAAATATCGTGTACGGGATATTCAATTCGTATGACATTTCATCAATATTCGTATGATGGGTGGGTTGAAATGATGGCGTCATTGATGGTAGATGAATTGCGTTTGCTGAACTGTGATTATAGGCGTATTCGAAATCCATGATCGTGAAGAAACTAAATTCTGACATGTTTCTTAAAGTGACGCGAGATTGTTCCCGCAATGGGTGATAGACGAAAACGAGATTAAGAGAAAAAGAAAAGGAGCGAGAGAGAGAGAGAGAGAGAGAGAGAGAGAGAGAGAGAGCAAGAGAGAGATAGCGAGATTTTTTTTCGTTTTAATTAAATTTACTGCTTGTAATGTAAATGCGAAACATGTTGATTTATAAAGTTTCAATGCTTTCGGTTATATAATTGTTTATTTTTATTTCAATTTTCGCACTTAAGAAACGTCTCCTTTCTGCGCAGTTAGTTTTTCATTTGTTTCATTAAAAATTTCATTTGATTTTATTTTGCTCAAGTTTTGTTAAATAATTTCTTGCATTTATATATTTTTAACCATATGTTCGTTATAGCTGTCGTTGTTATCTTTGTTATTGTTAACTCCTGTGATTTTATCCTTTGATTAGATGCCATTGTTGTAAACACCCATACAGGCAATTAATTGGTTGTCACTTCTCTTACGTCCAACTCCAGCATTACCGTCTCTGCTTTAAGTTATGCATTTCTATCGTTGAATATGCAATTGGACACAGGTGTATAGTTCCTTGATTATGGCACGTGTTCTGAGAAGATATAAAAAAGACAAGTAAAGTAAAGATAAAAAGAATAAAACAAATTGTTATTATATAAAATTGTTGTAACCTTTAAGGTTAGACATAAAGTTATTTATATTTCTTTCGATTTCATTCCTCAACATTAAACAGACAAAACGATTTCTCTCAAACGATTAAAATGTTAGCAAAACTTGTAGAAATCTTCGAGAGCGGAACCGCTAGAGTATGTAATGAGGTAAGATGCTAGAGACTCTTCTCAAATATCCATTCATTTATTAAATGCTGGATGACCCATAAAACTTGCTTTAGGTTGTAGGCAGGCTCACTCCCCTTTCTCTTTCCCTTCCTCTTTCGCTCTCATTCTCTCTTACTCTATCTCTTTTAATTGCCTTTTTCAAAATATCGATGAAGAGCTTAATTAAATGTTCCCCATTAGGCTCTAAGATGTGAAAAGAATATCAATTAGCAAGACAGCACTCATACGTAATGTTGGTTCCTTACTTAAAGCACTTAAAGAAGAAGAAGAAGAAGAAAAAGAAGTTTGTTTAGATTTTCTTCAAAAACTTTTATATAAAACGAAGAAATCTTGAACAAATTACAGATCTATTCAATTTACGTTGCATTTGTATGTATTGAGTGAGCTTTGAAAGAATAGAAAACATAACAAATATTTAAAAGTAAACAAAAATGACGTAATAAGTACATATTTTCTAATTATATATGATTGTACGTATGTATATATATATATATATATATATATATATAGACAGACAGCTAATGCTTGTTTCGTTAAATGTGCTTATGGCATAATGTTACGTCAACAATAACAATGCGCACGTAAAATGAAACGTATATTAAAACGTTAACAGAGGCACATTAAGAAAGCTATGTGCAGAGAAGGATACGAATAAAGAAAGAAATAAAGAATTGTTAGCTTTTTAATGCTACTTTATCCATAAAATTTTAGGGCTCAACTTAACAGTAAATGATATTATATATATATATATATATATATACATATATACATATGCCTGTGTATATATTCGATTATTATTATTAAAGAAAAAACATTTGCGTACATTGGATTTAATGCTTAACCGGTAGCATAAAAATAAGTAATTAGCAACTTAATGTCTTTCTATGATTTAATGTTCAACGAATTATGATAACATTTGCAAGCGTGAGAGAGAGAGAGAGAGAAAGAGAGAAATAGGAGAAGATATGCTATGCTTTCAAAGGAAGCAAAGTTTTAATTAATTTAATTAATTAATTAAAGGCACAATCCCTTTAATAAAATGGCAGCTACGTTTTGCTTGAGCCGTAAGATGTGCCTAATAATAAATATGCAAAAAACTAAAAAAAAAAAGAAAAAGAACAAAGTCTTGCAAGTTCAATAAATATATATATATATTTGAGATTAACGTAAACTGACGTCGTTTGGGAAATAAGTGAATGTTGAAATGAAATTCTGAATGGCTTTACGAACGTTCCAACACTTTCAAGAGTCCTTGATGCGTCCTTTCTCCCTCGTCGGAGCTTAGAATAAAGTATGTAGACCAACTTAATTGGCTGATTTAAAGCCATATCACTATGCTTCCACCAATTCGATAACTCAGTGAAATCGCCTTAGAGTAGCAAGAGTGTCATTTACTCAGTTAAAGGAACGAAAAATGTTAACATCGTCGTCGTAAACATTAATTGAATATATTTGAATTCTTTGCACAGCAAGGTAAGTCGTTGATAAACAAAGAAAAAAAAAAAAAAAACATAGAGCCAAGGTAGCTACTTTGCCGATAGAACATCTATTTTGCTTGAGACATACCCAAACTAACACATTATGTAAGCCCAAAAATATACGATCTAATCGATTCAATGCACTTACAGAGGATCCTAATACCCTTTGGTTTATGTAGGAGAAGAAAATGCGGTATTCTATCCAAGGCGTTTGAAAAGCAAAGATTAAGTTATCTGTTTGGTGTCTTGCCGAAAAAGAACAATTCCAAGGGTTTTATTCGGAGTAAATTTACTTTTAGTAAAACCATGCTTTCAATGATTCAATACTGTTCGTCAATGGACGCTCAAACAGTTTAAGAACTCACCTATGTAGCGGTATAATATGGGATTGTTTCTAGCTGTCAGGAAAGTATCTCTTCTTACGATGATTGTTAAAAGTAACTGTTAAGGGAGGACAAAGTATCGCTGTAAAAAAACAAAAAAAAAAAAAGAGGGTACACTATCAGGGGCTGGAGGACAAGACGATTTCAGTGAACAGAATAATTCGAAGACGCCACACTCGAAGAAGATGCAGTGCTGGAAGATGTCAAATAGGAAGAAAATTTTCAAGAATGGCAGACAAGGTGACCAATGATTTAAATATTTATTTACTAGGGTAACGGCTTTTACTACATTTAGACGTGCAGGCTTGATTAACTGAATTTAGTTTGAATATATTGTACGAACTTTATGATCAATATTTGTCTTCTTCATTCAGTATTCAGACGTAAGTCCATCAATTGCATTATTGCGAGACTACTTGAAATATGAAAAAATGCTTTGTTTCAAGTTCGTTTATTTTATTTGTTTATAAAGAGGTTTTCATTTCAATCCTTGCCTTGGAATTGCAAAAGGCTATAGTTCAGCTTAACATCTCATCAACTTTTTGTTTATATTATTTTTCTTTGCTTTCTTCCGTTCTTTTAAGTGCTTTCGATTAAAATTTCACCTAGAGACGCGCCAACTTATTTACCAATGTCGCGAAAGCCTTGAAAATTCATATACTATTTGTCTTAATCATATTTGGTTTGCGACAATGTCTTCCTCCAGACTCGTACATCATATTTCATTATCGCATTTTGTCCCTTACAAATGAAAATGTAATGGAATGAAGAATTACTAACTGAATCGAATGATGCAATATGTTTACATGTTTACATATGCAATGTTGGCGAGACAATCAAAATGTATTTCACATATATGTACATATGTATATGTATATCGTATCGTATATATGGAAAGGCTAATTCACTTTTGCTCTTATAACATAAAAATAAGTGATATATATATTTATTGAAAATTGGTTCACCTTTCGCTGTAGACAAATAATAAAAACCGATATATCAAAAACGTTCACAATTGCTATCCCATCCCAATTAAAAGTGAAGCTACAGACGATATCGAAATAATCTTTCATGCATTTTAGAAGCGAAAGTAAACCGTAGTTTTGTGGCAAGCACTTTTCGTGGAAAGTTATAAATTTTCACAAAAAAAAAAAAAAAAAAATAATAATAAAATAAAATAAAATAATAATGTCAGGAAAAGGTCATATTAAATATCTAATCCTTTCTCTTAAATTTCATCAAAATGTGACTTTTCAGTAATTTTTTGTGATGTGTAAGCAAAGTTATGGCGTGAAAATGTCATCAAGTTTTGTTTTACTTGTTAAACGAGCATATTCGTTGCATTTACATGAACGAACATGCAAATGGGTAAACACGAATCTTGATTACCACCTGATATTCGAAACAATTAAAAATAATGATAATGATAATGATAATGATCGTCATTGATAATCTCGCATAACTCTCTTTGATGGCTTTTAAGGCGAAAACCTTTAGAGAGAGCATTTCAATGAGACAATTACAGCAAATGTAGATGAAAATCTTAGAGAAAAAATTAGATTTTTAATGAAAATTATTTCAGAAGTGCTCTGAACAATTTATGCATTCGCGATATCATTGATTTTATCAAATTACCGATGTTTACAATATATCGTTAAGCGGTTAATTTCACTTTATAAGGATACGGATATCGCTCTTGGTTACTCCTAAACAGGAAAAGGATTTAAAAAGTTTTGAAAAACTAAAAAGAATTTTTTGTTTATTTATTAGTGAAATAAATAGTTTATAATTTTTGATGCTTCTTTAAAAATTGATCGGGATAATATATATATGTTGCATGTCTAGTGCACATTTTTGGTTTTTTTTTTCTGTTGTTTTCAAAAAATGATTTCATTATCGTTGATCCGTGAGTCATAAAATCAGCGAAAAGGTATCTCGTTTAACCTGACCTAATAAACAAATCGGATTTCAATGCAATTTTATTAAAATTACGGTTTTTTTTTTTTTTTTTTTTCTATTTTATTTATTTAAATTATGAAAATGTCCGAAATCACTGAAATCACTTTGAATACTAAGGCCATTGTTAAAGGGAATATTTTACAAAAGAAGTGAAGAAATATATTCATTTGGTTTGTTTCATTGTTCCGAGAACGCAATAAACACTTAACACTTCAAATCTAGTCATTGCAACACGATATGATAAAAAAAAATGTATAGAACGTCTCTCAGGTTTCTGTCTATAGAACAGACAGTAAACAAAAGATCCCGACTTAATTGCTTCAGCATTTCAAGCTTATATAGTCATGGAGATATTTCCATATCTACAACAGTGTCTACAAAAGTGTATTTCTAGCCGTTACAAATAGAATAACAAGGTTAACATGCTTGCATTAGT